CAATTTCACACGTGAGCAGTTTCGTTGTGTTTGGTGCTAGCTTTCTAGATTGAGCGCATCAAAAATTGTAACCGTACTTCTTGTGGGAACAATTAAAAGATCAAATTTGGCACAGCGATAGATCAAATTTGGGTCATGGCTCATATCGAGACTAGAGTATCTATTAAACAAATGGGTGCTTTCGTGGTACCTGAGTGAGGTATCTGTTGAACAAATAGATGTTTCCCAAGTATGTGCATTAGCCTAAGCTTAAGTCCGAATTCAATTCATCGTTGTACTTTACTGTTTTTATCTCACATTTGGCTCATACCCTCGTCAGCTTTTGATTAACTCATACTAAGTAAGATTTTCCTCCATTCTCCGCTTATGTCAATCATGAAATGATAGCTGTATTGGTTTGGGCATTTTCGGACATTTTCAGATGTATTCTCGGAAATTACCCAGTGGGCAATGTTCAAGAGGTACGATTCCCTAATAATATTGATGTTGGATAGCATCTTATTGCTGCTTTCAGCGGCTAATTGTGTAAAAGATGTCACTATCAATATACCAAATGTAACATACTTGCCTGCTGAACCTAAAAATGAATCTGTTATCCTCGTGTCTGGCTATAATTAAAATTTTTATTGTAATTAAATAGATAGATGTACTTTCAGCATTCGCCTGTCACGCATTCTTGTGTCATTCTTCATGACCAAAATGTAATTTACTTTCGTTGTTTTATTCACACTTGTGGAAGCACCTACCGCAAATGCTCTTGCACTAACTATAAGTTAAGATTTGTTTTCATTCAACCATTCACTCATCCTCTATGCGTAATGTACGGGTCTTCTTTTCTCATCACCATTCTGTAATTACTGGATTTATCTTATCATGAAATTAGTATTGCTTATCGAATTTCACATTCATCACGAAACTCCTCCTAATGAAGACCCAGACCCGGCTTTGTCTGTTCTTAATTAGGATGTGTTTTTTGATGGAAAATAGATATAATACTATCGTTAACTTTTCCTCAACACCACATTTTCATAGTTAATTAATAGTTCACTCGCACTTAGGTGATAAATAATATCTATGTTGAATTGCAAAAAGTGTAGAAACACATAGGCAATGAAGTCATAACTATTTTCAACATGAAGGTATTTTCAACATGAGGGCAAATAAAACGACTATTTAGTTTGACCTTAAACTCACACATATGATCAGTCATACCTCAGTTATCTCGCCTAGTTCATCAAATTTCATGTTTCTTATTCCAACAAATAGAAGACGGCCAAACACCATAATCTCCTACCAACTTTGCCAGGTCCTCACCAATCCTGAAACTTGTTCTTGTTGTTTCATTTCATTGGGTTGTTAGTCGCATGCGAGAACTAATCGCTAATTGCAGAAACTTCTCATGCTGAAGTCTTCTTTGCAATGACAGCTGATCTGGCCTAACTGCTGAGTTTTGCAACTATTCGGATTAATTGATCGGACTTCCATTAACTGATCACCTGATTAACTGATTAACTCATCACTCAACAAGATTCCATCAGTGGATCATCAGGGTCATGAAGGTCGAAAAATATTCAGCGAAAATGCTTTCTCTCGAAGAAAAACAGCACTTGAGAAGTCGTTCTGCAGTGATTTCTTAAAACAGCTTCAGTTCATACCTAATACCGATTGGCCATATGATCTTCTGTGCAATTCTCAATCGACACATGAAATCGTTAAAGTTTAACTTAATGTCTCTTTTATTTTCCTCGTCCCTCGGTGAAGTTACATGCGTTTGTTCGCCTTTCGTGACGTTATTACTCTTTCGAAGACATTTTATGAAGTTTTTTTCGGTTTCTTTATTGTTGTACATTACGACGAATGGAACAATTCATCCCATAATATCATTCATTCGATGGCCGTTCGGAACGGCTGCACAAATCTGCACACTTCACATCTTTGTAAACTTCGTATCGCATCTTATGACTTTGTAAGTGAAAAACCATTTGATTATGTGAATATTCACGCAATTGAAATTTATTCGAGGTTTGTTTAGCCGAAAGTATTTGCTGAGTGGATAAGCAGACGAGTGTTTCTGCGAATGTGAAACAGTGCATCCATCCATCCGTCCATCGACCGTTTAGCTGAAAATAATGAGTGTGCTTCTTAGATGGCACTTACTTTTTTCGTTCGAATTCTTTTCAGTATCCTTTTTGAGTCGACAAGCGTTCTTCTCCTCATCTTTGACATTACTCTATCTTCTATGAAGTTTTGCCTTACATAAGAAATAATTTTTACCGTTTCGATAAGACTTAGGTTTTCATTTAAGCGCTTTAGACTATATGATATCCACAGATGTGGCTTGCTTGAACCTACAACGATAAGGCAAATTCTGATGATATCTCTCTTTCATCAGAAGAGAGACATCATCTGGAAGGTCGCAATTTTCATAAAATTAATTGAATCATATTTTTGTCATCCCACTTTTTTCCACATTTGTCTACTTTGGATTTGTCAATGTTTTCTTGTTTGGGTTTTCCTTGTTTTAAGATCAAACTTTCTTATGTAGCATCTCAAAATCGAACTTTTTGTATGAAAGAAAATGTAATCACATTTTGTCTATTTTTTAGACCAGATTTATGAATGTACATCATGCCTGGTGGCATTCAATCACAAGAGCCCATTCACTACAACTAATGATTCAAGTGCATTCACTACAGATATCATCAAATTCAGTCTATCGCCTAGACCATCTCAAGCACGATAATTTGATAAATCTCGAACATCTCACAGTTTCAAGTGAATTTTTGAAAAACCAGAAACTTTGAATGTTTCACTTCCAATCAAATGGCGTGTTAATATCGCTGCCGTATGCGATAAACGTTCATTATCAAGCATTTTCTGACGATCCATCGCATGAAACACCGCTAAATTTCAGTTCTTCTCCAGAGCAATGAATGATTCTGGCGATACAATAGGTTTTCATAACAGCACTCATCCGGCTGAATGGTCCAAGAGCACAGTTTCCACCTTGCTAAGGCACCCTAGTTGTTATATTATTGATACGGATTATCTGGTCGAGCGATTCTGGTTAGTGACTGTGCTCGGCTCAACATTATCAACGATCAGTATTGTTGAGAATATATTTCTGTTCGCGGTGTTTGTATCGAGTCGACAGCATCGTAACAGTTGCTCGTTGTATTTGATGTTGCTGGCGTTGTCGGATACCTTCATCAGTGGAACGTATATTCTGATTATGTCCGTTAAAGTGTTGTATCAGTTCACTGAAAGCGTCTATTTGAAACGAATGTGGTGAGTCGTCAATAATTTGCATTTTGAAGCAGTACCAAACTTTCAGGTTTTAAATTTCAGTTCACATTTCAACTACTTGAATATTGTGATGTTGTCTACGATCATTCTTGTGGTCTACGATCATTCCTACTTTGCTTACGGATTTTATCATCACATGACATTTTAGAAGTATTGTCAGTTTAATACGGACTCACCAGTTTACTAGTAACCGCGATACACCACTGCAAAGAATTCCTACCGTTCCAGCTAAATTTCCTTTATCGTTTTTTGCTATAAAATTCGAAATGTGCGGAGAAATCCTAAAATTCAGCATGAATCGATACTCAGTTACAATTGGTGGAATCGAACAGATGAGAATTCTGACATTTCTAAGCAAGAACTTTACTGGGACAAATTTCTCACATATCTGATTTCCATCGGAAATTTAAAATGATAACTCAAACAAATTTCCTCTTTCATTCCATAGTTCTATCGATCCGATCCAGCGAATAGTCTCAAAATGGATAATTCTGTTCCGTTTTCTACACTGAATATTCCAAATTTGGAACGTCTCGGCCTTGGAATTCGTCGAATTTCGATTCAAATAGATCAATGATCATTCAATTAGATCATTGTCGACAGTCAATCACTAAGAAACGAATTATTTGCAATTTCAGGGTGGTATATTTGGTGCCAATGATGACCATGTCCCATATCACAATAACAACTTCATCGTTTCTGATCGTCTTCGCCACAGTCGAACGGTTCTGCGTTACCGTATCGCATCATTGCGTTGAATTCTTGCAAAACAATCGCAAACTTATCGCGTTCTTCGCTGTGGTCATTGGTGTCTTCACCAAGGGAACACTCCTTCTTGAGATCGTCGTAAGTTCACTTCACTTTCACTCCTCCATTATTCCCCCAATCCAATTCAATTTTTCAGTTGGTGCACTATAAGACCTTCCCGGTTGATCCAATGTTTTCCATCTCAGTTAACAGTGAGATGGATATATCCGATCCAGCAGCTCTGAGAAATCCCATTAGCATTCATGTACCACAGGAATACATCTTATAACCTCAAATCAGAGTCAGTTTTAATTCGATCAGTATCAAACATACTTCGATATCAGTTGATCTTATTGATAGATCATTGCTTCTGCAGATGCAGAAGGGAGTATATTTTGCACAAGTATTTCGAATACAAATACAAATCCCGTGAAGATGATGAATCTATGAAAATTTCAGCAATATCTCTAAGAACTCCAAAGTTGAAGCGTCCGACTTGAAGCGACCAAAACCAATATAATCTTTGAAGTATGATGCTTGAATCATGCAAATGATTGAACTTATCAAATCTCAAGTTCGCATCAACTTTATCCTCGCTCCTTTCCAGCCCGTATACGATCCGGATTGCGCAGATACACTGAACGAGTATCATCTAGAGGTGACCCCATTGGTGATTCACAATCGCCACTATAAACTATGGCGTTTTTGGTTTCGGAATATAGTCACAATCCTGTTTCCATTCTTCACGTTGATGTACTTGAATGCAAGAATTGTGAATGAACTGAGGAAGAACGTTTATTTGGGAACGCAATCGAGCTCCACTCACAACCACGCCAATAAAGCCGTCAGCGCAAAGCAGCGCAAGGTTCATCATACACCTCAAATGAAGTTTTATTTTCCCAAATGCTTCTGATCATTTGATCTGTCTGATCAGTTCATTTCCACCTGTCCACGTTCCAAAAATCACTCAATCCTCACTATTTTAAAGCGTCGTCGATAGTTGACCGTATTCATAAAGTACCGAAGATTGGACGCTGCCGAACGACTGAATATTCAAATTCAAATTTAGTTCAGCTTCACTGGTTGCCTCATTTCCGGAACAACCGATAGTTTTTAGATTTTTACAAGAACATTCGTTCTTGTCGTATTTGCTGAAATTTTTTTCCGACAATGTGAATTTTTGAGCCTTTCTTTAGTTTTTAAAGTTCGAATCACGAAACGAGACGAAAATTTTGCGAGAGGAAAAGTGCTAATTCGTGAGAAATATCAGCTTCCATTCCATGAAGTTCCACTTGAAATGTGGGAATTATTTCGTTGAGAGCAATTGTTTTACCTATTCTCATGTATTTTTATATCAGTCGCCGAGAATAATTCATTGTTTGACACGTTCGAACGGCCTCTCTGTGTTGCAAATTGCTTTTGCTTGCAAATCTTTGATAACACATGCGATACGTGCACTTATTAAGAACAGTGAAGTGTTATGGATTATTTAAGAATTCGGCAATTTACTTAAAAGTTTGCATTGCTTGTCGTCGTTATCTTAACGGCTTCGTCCATTCTTATGCAGTAGGGAAAACCATTCGAGTTCATTTGCAATACAGCATCTCCACTATTTTTTTCGCTTTCGACCTGCAGACATGTTCGATTTGAAATGCAATTTCCTATGCAAAACTGTCAACTTCTAACAATGCACCACCATGCGTGAACTGACACTTCAGGATATACTACTTCAGATCGTTTCTTTAGTCCCGTCCGGTTGGGTTGGGGTAAAGACTGTCAGAAAGAAAAGTTTCTAGCAGATGGGTGAATAATCCTAGATGAACATGAAGAAATTCCGGACTTCGCCGAAAATGCCTGAATATTCCTAATGTTTGCACATTTCTCGAGAGCAATATTTAATAGTGCACCATCGAAACTTTATTATAGATCAAAACTCTTAATCTGACTTGTTATTAAGATCAAGAACATGATATTGCATTCATCAAGAGTGTATGATCAGAAGCATATCAAAGTCAGAACATGAGCCATTTATGGCATCAATGATTTCATGATTTCAGGCTCGGGTTCGAGCCGCCACGCGCAC